CAGTATCACAGGAACTCTTGGCTGTTGCATATCATAAGAAATAAGAGTTCAGCAAGAAAGATATTTACACTCTCATTAGAAGTAAAAAAAAAAAAAAGTGGCTTTTAAAGGTGAATTATTTCACCTGAAAGGTATTTCTGTTTTTAACAAGAAATTGAGCTTCACATAAAGCAGGCGCTATAGTTAGCCAAAACCCGTATTTCCCCTTAAAAACAAGTTTTACTGAAAAAAGTGCCCTAATCTACCGCCTCCTTTGACTTTTTTTACCATTTGACTTCTACTAAAGATATTACAAGAACTTTTAAAGATTCTAGTTTTTCCCCTTAGAATCTTCTTAAGATTTTAAGCATGCAAACTCTTCAACAGTGTGAGTTTTACCATCCCTTCCTTTCATATTTGCCCTGAATTTTCTAAAAGCCAGAATAAGTTCCACTTCGTATTTGCATTTTCCCATACAAGCTTTTTACTCTTGGATGTCAGAATTTTTTTTTTTTGAACATGGTATATTATCCAGTATACAGATTGACATTATACATTTCAAGGCCATAAATCAAAAATCTGTTTAAATAACATTAATACTAAGAAGATAGTGCAGACATATGCTAAGGTTTTGTCTGAGCTATGGCCATTAAAAATGCAAGTTTAGATAATCTGTCTCTGCTGATTCAAAAATAATAAAGAGCAATGACTGCATTTTATAATGTCTTTCCTGGTATGATATACTGAATATTGCTGAGTGGAACTAGAATAAAAACAAATCCTTAAAAGACTTCAGTAAAATATCTGACATGACATCATATGGGAAATGAGTTCAGCATATGGATTAATGGTAGAGCCAGGAAGAAAGAGAAAGGGCTGGTACTGAAAAGTGAACCATCAGATTGGAAAGAGCTCAATAGCACAGCTCTTCAAGAATCAATTACATTCAGTTTTTTTTTAAAGAGCCTTGGCACAAAGAAGAATGAATAAATCAAATTTACTGATAACACAAAGCGGGGATTAACTCTCAGTACTAAGGATGAGTATATTATACATAAAACTGGATGGCTTTGAGGAAACTCCAGTAACAAGGGCAGGTTAAAGTTCAGGAATGCAAAGAACAAGGCCATTCATGCATTTCAGAATCACAGAATTTTTTTCTGCTATCACTTGAAAGTTAAGCTCTTGGAAACAAAGAGCAGAGAAAGATCTTGGAGCAGCCCTTATTCTCAGGATGTCTCCAAGCCATGGATACAGCATGACTGTGAGAAAGACAAACACAGTCCTTACATGCATGAGACAAAATACACCTGTATTCAAGTAATGCTAATGCACATCAGAAGAGGCCATGAAGAATCATTATAGAATTAGGATGTTACTAGGGAAATGAGGAATGTATTTTAAAAAGCACAACAGAACTAGGCTTTTTCAGCCTAGAAAAGAAGTCTGATTGATAAAGAGTATGGTTCTTCAAAAACTGCTCTACTAATTAGCACTTTTCTTCTGAACTTTAACAGCAAATTTATTGACAAAATAGCTTATATCCATTTTATTCTTATTCCAACAATGGCCTTTAACCTAAACTCACTTTTCTTTTCCTAAGTGTTCTCTCTATCACAGCCTCTTAAAAAAACTTCCTAGATTTAAGAGAAATCTTGATCTATTTTGTGAGCAAGATTGGACTTGAAGATGCAGATCCTTTCCGGTCCTATGCTCCTCAAGGTCTTTATGGTAAAAGATGTATTATAGAAAAGGAGAAAAATGAATATATAGCAGCAAAAGTTTATCAAAATGGGCAGTTATAATGTACTTCTTGAGCACTTCTTGAGAACGAAGGTCTGGGAAAAGGCAATGAAAACAGTGTCTGATGCAAAATGTGTGGGTGTATTTTAGGTAATATCTAATTACAATAGCAAAGAATTATCCACTAATTTGGAAGATCAACAGTTAGATGAACATTCCAACTTCTGTAAATACTCTTCTCTGTCCTCAGTAGATAACTTCCTATTTGTCCAGAACAACTAGTTTGATTAATGTTTCTGAGCATTACTGTAATTTAAATATCTATTAGTGGTAATCATACTACTTCGAAATAAGTCCCAAAATATCAGTCAACTCAGCCAACTCTGCTGCAAAAAGAAGCAAAACTGGTCCAAAGCCAATACATAAAACTTCAAATTTTGAAAAATCCTAGTTGACTTTTGAAAGTGTTTGTTCCTAGAACTTTATAAACAAACTTTACAAACTTTATAAACTTTATAAACAAAAGGAATGGTCATATGAAGATACACATGAAAAATGAATACACAGAAAAAAAAATCTCTTTATCAAATGCTTTGAATTACTAATGACTTCAGACACAACTAAACAGTCTTTTATCTCTACACAGCCAAGGCCCCTTTTGATGAGTAGTGTGTTAGTGGATTCTTGGTGTAGATATGCTTTCTAGATAGATAGATAGGCTATCACTGTCCATTTCAGCAACACACTCCCCTTATCCAGTTTCTCAGTCAGCTAATTAGCCTCATCAATTTAAAATCACAAGATGCAAGTGGCAAAAGACAACTAGCATATCAGGCCAGCAAACTCAATAGAAAACTATATAAAAAAATAGTTCTATCTTAGCAAATTGTATCTAACTTAGCAAAATGAGATTAGCACAGGGATACAAATGATTTTGATAAATGTCTTGCAATAGAGAGGTGAGCTTTTCTCTCTAGAAAGACAGAATAGAAGAAAACCTTGGTAAAATGTTAGTGCAAGAACATAAACATATAAAAATCCTTAGAGCATACTTTTAAGCAACAACTAAGGAAGGCCTCAGGAACAGTGATAATCTGGAAAAGACCCTCAGGTAGGTGATTTCAGAGGGATCATGAAGAGCTCATGATGCAGCTGGCCAGACCAAGAGAGAAGTTTGCACAGGGGCACAGCAGCTTCACTCCCTTAGTGCCTGTCTTCAGGCTCTTACAACTGGATAGTCACCAAGAAAGAGTGCACAGACATGGCGCTCAGGAGGACTTAAGGGATCTTCTAGCTCAGGTGTTACAGAGCAAAGAATGCCCAGCATCAATCCCCCAGCTCTGAAAGATAAGTTTGGTATCACATGCCGAAACCAAAACACTGGAAAAGTGAAGAGCAGCTGGTATTAGTCAGAGATGGGTGGACAGTCTCTTTTCAGACTGTGCTATTTGACAGACTATTCCAACTGTAGGTCTCTCCAAAATTAGGAACCAAAAGTTTAACTCAGTGATTTAGAATGGCAGATTCCAATCCTTTTTCTCCACATTCTTATTTTAAGTCTCTGAACTTTTTGCAGATTATCTGAAAAACAAACAATAAAAACATTCATGAATCCCTTCCTGCCAAATCTTCAGGCTTTTTTAAGAGACAAGCCCTAGTACTGCATTTGAAAGAGAAGGGTAGGAAAGCACTGGAGACTGGAGAGAAGTCTACCTCTTCTCATCTGTCCAGTATCCTCTCCTCAGGAGTATGAAAAGGACATATCATGGCATAGTTACAGCTTATTGCTGACTCACACCAGTATTATTCCTATCTTTTTATTTTTAAAACCATTTCCTTGCAATTAAAGATTGTGATTACTTGTCAAAAATAGCAATTGTAGAGCCAATGAAGCTTCAGATTCAAAGCCCAGTTTCATGGATCAGACACCGTACTTTTAGATAAGTTAACAGTTTTTTCCTCTGTTCAGAACACAACCTAGGAATATTTACCATATACCTCCTATCATGCAAATCCACATAACTTGATTAACAGTAAAAAGACCAACACAGATTTACCCTGGTTTTGATCACACGCAGATTTTGGGGGGTGATTGTAGGTGGTTCTGTAAGCAGGATATGAAAGATGCTTTCTGGTTAGGGAATTCATTAGTTAGCATAAGAGAAAAATAATCTTTGATGAACAGCTGGAGTAAAAAAATGGCTAGTTTTAATACAGATCAGACTGTACCTATTCTGGTACAGTCTACAGCACAAGGGCACACTCATTTTGAGCACAGGGTGTTGGGACTTCTTTTTCAAAACAGAAATAAAGCCTTAAGACTGTTTTAAACATAAGACATTACAGCTTCACTAAGTGCCTAACTCCCAGGATGGGTTACACCTCCAGGACAGACCATTCGACTACCTACACACCTGACATGCATTTCAGATTATCTAACCCCTGTAAAACATCAGCTAAGAACTCTGATGTCAGTCTGGCTCCGAGATACAAATATGAGAACGAAACGATTGACTTCACCTTCCACATTCTTTAAGAAAACAGTTCCAACATAGGCTGTTATACAGATATGTAGTGGACTCGGCTGTGCTGCAGACATAAAAAAGCAGCTACCATGACATATGAGCCTGAAGGATAATGAAGTTCAAAGAAGCAATAATACTTGCAGCAGGCTAAGGAATGCCCTGTAAACCCTTGGGTAGACCATGGCAGAAAGTCTGCATAATGGTGGAAACAAAGAAGGGCAACACTACCAGGTCGTTGCTTCTCCTCAAGCCTGCTCTGACTATATGTATTTCTAAGAACAGCAAGACGAATTGCTCCCTTAACCTGAAAAATAGCAACCCCTAGCTCTGCAGAATGCTATCCTGCCTTACATGGAAACAAATTGTGTGAGGATCCCTTAACTCGGCACTGCATTGTCTGATACTGAATACATCTGGCACCAACTCTAGAGGTCAATCCTGCCTTTATGTTTAAGAGGAAAAAGAAGATTAGGCTGCCTTTCCCACATATTGAAGCATACGAAAAGCACATACAGATATCAAAACGTCTCTCCATAACACTCAAATAAGTTGTCGTCTCTCTCTCATAGCAGCAACTTTTCACAAAAATGGTCTTCTGAATGAGAAAATATTTTGGATCACTTCATAAAAACAGACGTAATAACCATCTGATGCCTGCATCCAACAGCCTATCACATGATAGTTGCTGGATTACTCCAGCAACTCATACTCAACTCAGAGTTTGTGGAAAAGGCCTCCACAAAGTGATGAGGACTCAAGAGAATTCATGCAAGTGCTGGAATGAAATACTGAAGTGAAACATCCTCGTGGAGCAAGATGAAGTGTACTATCCTTCTACTGACAATATCTGGAAGGGAAAAAACACAAATCCAGTCAAAAGAAAGACAAATTTAAATGATGTCTTCTACACAGTGCCACCATAAGAATGCGAACATTCACCAGACATATCATCCTGTAATATGCAAGTCCTGGAGGGTCCATGAAAGCTGATGCCAAAAAGAAAATTCTATAATGATATCTACGATTTAAATCTTCCTTGTAAAAATTGTACAGGTTGCATTAGAGCATAATAAGAAGCTTTCTTAAGAAGGCAGAAGTTCTTGGGAGAACATACAATATTATCAAATTAGGATACAAAATCCTATGCAACCTTTGCTTGGGAATAATACAGATTTGTTTCTCTCTGTCGTTAGTGAAACTGGCTGTTTAAAATGAATTTGGGAATTAGAATCAATTTGGTGCCATATGTAAGAAAATGTACTGAGCAAGTCAGTACCTCTGAGCAGGTCAGTTCTCTATTAAGGCTTTGTCTTCAGACATTGTAAAACCAGAATCTTTCCCAAATACAGTAGTTTTGATTTAAAAAGAAAGCAAACGTGAAGACCCACTTGGTTAGTCATTCTGAGTATGCAATATATTTTTAAAAGGACTAGGCTAATTTTTTTTCCAAACTTTCAATGCCCGATGCTCAGTACCTAAATACAGAAATACTCAAAGTTCTCAGCCACAGTAAAAATAACAAGCTTTCAAACTGTCAGAAGGGAAGCTATGCTGTTCTGCTAAGACTACGAGTATGGCAGACACCTCTTTTATTAGAGTTTGCAAGCAGAGCTGTTCAACTTACTGCACAAAGCTTTTGTGGGATTGACTTGTTGTCCTGCAAGCAGCTGCAGCAGCTTCTTGATGTCTATGCATGCCTCAGCCATGATTTCCAGCTCTTTACCTTGAACAGAGCTTGGACTTTCATCGTCTGACACTACAAGTATAAGAGTACATTTAACCAAAACCTCAGAAGGGATTTCAATATGTAAAAGCACACAGCTCACAATCAGAGAACATCTGATAACTGAATGTGGATCTCCATCCTTGGAGATACTCAAAAATTACCTACACAGTCCTAAGAAGCCAGCTTTAGGTGACCTTGTGTTTCGTTTGCAGACTTCAAAGCAGCCATGCTATTTTGTACTTAAGTACTGGCAGAAGGTGAGTATTGTTACCAGCAGCACATCTAAGTAAGAAGACCAGACAAACACAAAAAGCAGCAAATATGGTAACTTACCCCAGGGAGGATTTCCTAAGTCTTTAAAATGTGTTGTTACAGACACTAAATCGGTTTCTATTTTCAAGTTCATTTCTCCACTCAAGTTTGCTTCAATCACCTGAAAAATAATCAATCTCAATTTTAGGGAAGCTGCTTTTGCACTTCAGAATTTCAGAAGAATAAACTACTACCTAGTTCAAACTCAAACTTCCGCAAGTGCTTCAGTGAACTGACAGTTCAACAGCTTTTTGAACAGGGCTCAGAAGTTTTAACATCCAGCTACAAAATGCATCATTCTGAGGTGAAGGACCCTTGACCCACTTCCCTGAAATTATGGAGGAAAAAAAAAAGAAATACAATTGCTCTCCCATACCTTCAAAACAAGTATTAGCTTTGGGAATTTCCGGTGCTAAAGTAATAGCTTTAGAAATAAGAGACATAAGCAGGAAAAATGGGAATTTTGCTGAAATTGCTTATTTTTTCTCCAGTTTTTTCCTAAAGAGAAAGGGGTGAATATACACTGTCCACAACACATGCACAGAAAATTTGATGCATCAAGAGCTGATCTGCAGTTGCTGTGCTGCTCTACTTGAAAACGGCCAACAGCTGCACCGGAGTAGCAACTTCAAAAAGCATTTTGGACTGCTAGAAATATCCTGGACAAGTGTTGAAAGACTTCAAACTCCATCCTGACAAAATTTCCAACCACAAGGAAACTATCTTGACTGTATTCCAAAAATGACAGACAGATCAGAAGATTCCTACAACACATCTAAATTCTATTGTGTGACTAGAAGTATTCTCAATAATTTTAGAAAGGCTCATTCTTATAAGCAGAATTTCCTAAGGAATGGGAGATCCCTGTATATGAATGCTCTCTCTCTCTCAAAAAAAGGGCACATTACTATTTAAAAGAACTTCTAAGTCCCTTTTCAGTACTGATCTTGACTGATTTTACTACCAGGCCACAGATGATAGAAATATTTACCTGTGACACTTGATACTCTTCTTTGAAAATAAAATCAGGCCTACCAAAGAGTTGGGAAGAAGTAAAAGAAAGAGGG